TAACCAAATTCTTCTAGAAGCTTCCCTGGCATGCACAGTGTCTGCATATTCTTCAAGAAAAACCTAAAACTTGCTGATGCTTTGCATATAGAAGACCCAAACGCTTAAAATACACAGGCCTCGAGACTCCTAGTCTGGAAATCATTCCAGGGGAAAAGTTCTACACCGAGCACTGGTTCTAGAAATGAATAGCCACTGCACCTCTGTTACATTACAACTGGCACTCTGAAGAAAAACCAAGAGAGACCAGTTAATACATCAAATGAAACCAAGTTATTATCCAGCCAGGTCTCTAATGTTGTACATGCCAGATCTGTTGGGACTATCTAAGATTAAACCCTAGATTTATTTACCAAGAGCATGTGAAGCAGTTTTGGAGCACTCCAAATCCCTTCAAGCAGCAAGTTCTTTCATTACAAGTAAATTTGTAAACCTTGACACCAATCTTTTCCAGTTAATAAGGGCTAGCACTTCTTTAACTTATTTGCAGTAAGACAAAGAACAAGATCTGGACTTAGAACCTGATCTCCTTGAACAGAAGAGATTTTTATTAGTCTCTGCACACAAAGAAGTAAATCAAGAAGTAGGCTAGAGGTAACTGCTCATCTAGAAATCCCCCCTCCCCCCCAAATTATACATCTGAGGTAATCAGGAGTCTAGGCTGGAAAGTCATTTTAGCTGCCTCAGATCCATTCAAGAGCAATGCTACAAGACCCAGAACTGCCAAGGACCTTATACCAGTGTTCAGACAGAGCCCAGTCTGTACGCTGTTCCCTCCTATGCAGAGAGACTGCCACCCACCCACCTCAATGGATGGGAAACTTTATTGTCCCAATCGCGGTTGGCCCTGCCACAGGTGAACTGGGTAGAACACATGCTGAGGGAAAGCAAAGGTGCCCCTCCCCTTCAAAGTTTCTAGCCACCTATTGGCTATCTTGGGGAGGAAGGGAGCTGATTGGTCCCTCACCCTCCTTTTTCACTAATTTAAACCACAGCCCAGGCCATGTGTAGCTTCTTTTTGCTCTGTAGATTCCAGCAACCCCACCCTCTAGTGGTAGCCTGAGAGCTGTTCTTTGCTGTTGCTGGAGGTCTACCCGATTGCTTTTTTTGCGGTTGGAAAGGAATTTTTCTTCCCATTTCCAAATTGGCAGAGGCCTAGGAAGTTCTTCACCTTCCTCAGAGCATCCTGGAGGCACAGTTAAGTTAAACAAAAATAGGCTTTAATAATGAGTGATAGCACTTCGTAAGAACATTAATTCATTTGAACTCACAGACGGTTTCCAGTGCAGTTAAAAGGAACAGTTCCTGGGATTTTACTGATGGACCTTGTGCCCAAGGGACAGGGAATAACCTTGTGGCCTTTGCAGACCAACATCCCCACTTTTAGTATCCATTGCCCCCTCACAGGGGTAGGGTGGTTAGTAGGACTCAGAAAAGAGAGCCGAGTCCCAGTGGTAGACTGAGGAGAGGCTACCCCAAATTAAGGGTTATATGGTAGAAACCTTGTAACCCCTGCACTGGAGCCATTTACCTGATTGGTAAGAGTATGGGTGACAAGGTGGGCAGACCCTCTCCCCTGTGTTAATTTTAATAAAGTTGTGGCGTGCCACTTAAACCTCATCCCTGTGTTTGTCCTCATTCGTCGCTGTTTACACATCTATCACTACACAATCCATCTCCAGCCAGGGAACGCACTGCTCCAGCACCTAGCATCATCTTCTACAAATATATCAATAAGTCTAGGACTGAAGAGGGAAAAAAAGGAGTCAAACTGAGGATGCAAGAAACCTTACAAGTTATCATTTGGGACCCTGCATTGAACTATTTAATTTGTAACCCCTCCCTCAAAGCTAATCATCTGAACAAGCTGCACCTAACTGACCTCAGGTGGCAGTCAGCTGCCAATGACCCTGGGACTGAGCAGATTTTTGCCATATTTCTTAGTGTACAAATGGCTTCTGAACCCTGCTGGACAAGACCTGAATCCCTGCTTATTTTGAAAAGAAAATGTCACACCGGACTCAAAAAAGCTTCCAAGTAGAGACATCCGATTAAAAGATTTCCAGGGGCCACTTTCAAAGAATTTGGAAGGATGGTCGCTAACTGTATTAAAGCTGTATTTGAGGATTTCGTTGTAAGTCAGTGGGGCTTGTTTTGTAGGTTTAATACACATGATTGTTTTTCAAATTCAGAATACAAGAATACTGCACTGGAGAATCTTTAGCTTGATGAGACCAGGACTTTGAACTCTCCAGTTTGAAAAGAATCAGTGACCATCTTTCAAAAAAAATCTCAAAGTGGAACAGCCTACAGCTCAATTATTTCATGTATTATCCACATTCTTCATTTACTTGAGTCAAATACTATTTGTAATACAGTATTACTGACTCTTCTTGGATGCACAGTAGACAACAGTAATACAGCAACTGCTCGTTCTTTCACGTGTGTTGTGGTTTCTGGAAACAAGAGACTGGGGCTAGCTAGAGTATTGTGATTTATATTTAAAAACTTTTAAAAGAATTGAATTCAGGAGCATGTAGGCCCTAAGGGCTCCATCCTTGGATACATAGGAAAGTTGAATAATTTAAATAAAAGCACTTGTCAGCCCTACAGTTACTGTCATTCCATCTCTACAATACCATCTGTGAGAGTCAGAGAGTCTTCCAAGGGTGCCCATGGCGCACACAGTTACTATCCAAACATCAGGGCTGAGTTTCATCTGTATATTTGTCACATTTAAGTAATTGCGGGGCTGAGTTACAAGGGGAGCTTTGATACTTCATCACAGGAGAGTCACTCAAATGCAAGTGTCTTCCCACCACCTAACTAGCTTTGGCAGCTTATCAGTTTTCAGTAGTGTTGCCTGTGGTACAATTCACTTAAGACAACCAACTGGAAGTTCCAGGGGAGTCTGTTTCACAGCCTATGGGTAATATAGCACGAGAAACACTGAGACAAGTATGACTGAAGAGGTGGGCACTGTGCAGACTCCTTGCACACAGTCTCTCTTCCACTGCTGCATACCCTGGGACAGTAGCAGTTAGAGAAAGTAGCTGAGAACTAGAGAAGGCAGCATCTGATCCTTAAAAAGCAACAAAAGGAACAGAGGACTGGGAGGGTGGAAGAGGGTTGTCTAGCGCAATTAGAGACCAACACATTTCAAAGAATCAGGAAAACACCAGGTTTTTCCACAGTTTTCAGGCACATATTATTCCTTTTTTAATATACACACAGTCTCTGCAGGTTTAGTGCCACTGACTTGGTCAGTGCACAAGAGATGGTCTATACAACAGGCAATAGAGAAAGTAAGATTCACTTATTCGTTTTTCTGTTTGCTTATGAAGCTTGCAGGCATTAATCTAAAAAAACAAAAAACAAATTAAAAGGTACATGTTTCAGAACAGAAATTTCTTACGACACTAAGTATTTTGCCCAGCCAGAAGACTCTGAATAATTGCAATAAAATTCAAGTCTAGCTGAATTGATGGAATATATTCAAAGGGGTCAAACAAAATATTTTAGACAGTTATAATAGTGAAAATACAATAGAACTATACTCCAATTCACAGCTTGGCAGCACAAAACATCTCCACCCTTCATTGCAGTAAAGAGATATTAAGCAATGTGCTTTCAAGTTTGACCATGTAATATGTTGTTACTTGTGCCATAATGATTTCCCTTACTACTTTCTTTTTAAGTTAATCTTATCATCCCCAAGTCAGTTTGAGTAGTTAACTCAGTCTAAATGCACAAGGTGACAATGCAGAGCTACATATAGTAAAATAGACAAAAATCAACTTTCAAAACATGGTAAGAGGTGATCATGCTACTTACAGTGCAAATTTAGGAAAAAAACCCACAAACAAGATGTGGACAAATACTAAAACTGAATGACTCATTGGTCATATAAGAGCTTTACATTTAATTCCCTTGCAGTGTGAATTCCGTTAGCACTTCAGAGACAAAATACCAGTCTTAACCAACATTGCTACAGAACTGAAGGCAGAGTACATGCAAGTATTGTACTTACATAGTTCTTATAGAAACCCAGAGGAGGGTTCTCCTATAATCAAGATTTCAGTTGGATTTGTCACTTATGAAACATGCATTCATGTGTAATTTACCTGAATTACACAAGCCCACTAAAGGAAAGAAAGTCTACTCAATCTGAACTTTCATTGCTCCTGTTTTTAAAATTATAACCGTATATATTTCACTATTTAGATCAGTGTCACAAAACAAATCTCATCTTGCAAACTTTTAGAAAGTCTTAAAAATTTAAGTACAACTAAACAATTAAAATAAAAGCACTTGCAGAAGAAAATGGAACAAAAACTACCGAGTGCTTCAATTGTAAGCCTTGGGTATTTTTCAAAATTAAAAATTTTAACTCACAAGCAGGTTGAAAATAAAATACACTTATCAAAATATTTTTACATCCCTTTCCAGCTGGAATTATAAAGCTTAAATTCAAGGCACTGTACTCCTGCCAGGGTTAATATGATTTTCTAGTCATCAGTTCAAGTACATTAACTTTAAAGACTGCAAGTGTAAAATAGAATGAAGTGTCATTAGCAATGAAATGTGAACAAATATTTCCATAAACAAACTCTTTTGTGAAAATGTGTCAGTGATTGCTTGATGCAGCGTGTGGCTCTGCATGCTATTAGGCCTGAACTTGGTGCCAGCAATAGAACCATAACTCTTCAAACACATATGGCATCTATAGGGTCTCACACACACACATACACACACACCCCATTACAATCTATCCAAAGGCAACAAAGATGTGTTATTCTTATGTTCAGGTCAGGTGGATTGGCAGCAGGTTGCCCTCGTGAAACTGGATTGCCAAGAGCTGGGAAGTATGCATTGCTTTGACCCCCACCAATCCCCGGTTGTGCCCACCCACTGTATTCCATAAAGTGGTGGAGGGGAAACTCCTCTGTATTGACCAAGAGGCATCACACAAGGTGTTGCTATGTCAGAAAGAGCAGTACCTGGTATGGAAGGTGAAACTCCAGGAGTTAAATGCAGTGGACAAAGAATAAGACACTGGAACAATGTACTTTCCCCACTTCTGGTCTTAGAGAATTAATCTACAAAAAAAAAAGAGAGAGAAAAAAGCAATAGCTGTCAAACTTATGTTATCTTAACTGAAGAATGAGAATTATTTATTTCGTTAAATTATGAATGTATTGCAGAACTGGTCATTTTCAACCCAACAGTGGCAAATGATTCAGCTCTTATGTTAGTCTCACTCCCTCCAGTGGCTAAGGCTTTGAATGACAGGCTTTGAACACCACCTCCTCCTTTCGGCACTGACTAATCTAAACCCTTCTAGGTGAGGCATAGATGGGAAATGAGTGTAAAGAATAAACTCACAGCAAAGTCCTTGGCCTCTCCACTATTAAATAGCTAATACTGGAATCTTCTGGTAGCCTCCAAGCCCTTTAAAGTTACTCACTGGACATGCAAGAAGGGGGTACATACTAATTCACCCTCAGACTTTATTTTCCCTAGGGACAGGATCAATTTGGGAAATTGAAAACCTTTTGATGTAGAAATGTGGATGCCTGTACACATAATAGGTAGTTTTCTACCTACTGTAAAGGGCCAGGCAGTCCAGGATATGCCACTGAACAGATGAAAGAAATTAACACATTAATGCCACCAAAGCAGTTTCTAGTAAAAAGTTATCTGCAAGATCCCCTACTCCTGCTAACACTTGTGCCTGACTAACACAAACAGAACCTTATCCCAATCCCATTTTAAACTTCTTTCACCCCTCCAAAAGAAGGTTTTTTTAAAGTTGCCGCACAACTGGGAAAAAAAAAAAGAAGAAGAAGAAGAAGAAGAGAGTTTGCACAAAGTAACTCAATCAGGTTGCTTACTGAAGATATCTGGAGTTTGCACAGTGGGGTGAGGGAAAAGGACTTTCTTTTCTAAACACAAGACAGCTGGCTTCCCGAGAATTAAGAGCTCAATAGTAGCGCAAATACCACAGAACAATTACAGTACAAGACACTGTCTAGTTTCCCTGTGGACTGGTATGACTGGGCCCATTCACCTCCTGGGAGTGCCTCCTGTCAGTTGGGTGTGAAGCTCCACTTCCTCTGCTCATGTTGCCCCCTATCGGTTGTTGCCCTCATCAGGCGTAGGGTTGCCAGGTGTCCAGTTTTTGACTAGAAAATCCAGTCAAAAAGGGGACCTGGCAGTGTCCTGTTAGATGTTCTGACCAGACATCAGAAGTCTGGTTATCTGGGTGGAGAAGAGGTGCTGGGTCATCAACTTGCATGAGCTCCTGCTCAGTTGGGGCTACCTGCACCTCGTAGGCAGGCAGGCTTCGTGTCAAGCTGCAGCTCCTGTCCCAGCCCCAAAGCAGAGGGAGTCCAGCTAGGAGATGGGGGAAGAGGATCGAGCAACAAAGTAGGGGGAGAAGGGAGAGCAGTAAGTGATGGGGGGGCAGAGCCTCAAGGGAAGAGGCAGAGCAGGGTGGGGTCTGGTTTTATGCAATTAAAATTGGCAGGTCTTCAGTGACTCAATCATCCAGCTATGTGTCAGTCAAATGCGTGACTGAACAAACAGACCCTTTCTGGGCTAAAAAGGTCCAACAGGGCTTGTCCCTGGGCCCTCAGTATTGTCTTTAGCCTTGTCTCTGGGCTCAGCCCTCAGCCCCTTCTGGACTTGTTTAAGTCCATGTCTGCCCTGATATAGAGCAGTTAGGGCTGCCAATTTTAGTTGGATGTATTCCTGGAGGTTTCATCAAATGACAATCTTTAATTAAAGATCTATCTTTAATTCCTGAAGACTCCAGGACAATCCTGGAGGGACTCAATGCATCTGAAGAAGTGGGTTTTTTTACCCACAAAAGCCTATGCCCAAATAAATCTGTTAGTCTTTAACGGTGCCACTGGACTCCTTGTTGTTTTCCTGGAGGGTTGGCAAACTCTAAGAGCAGTGCCCCCAGGGCTTCCTCCCTGGATACTCTAAGTCTTGCCCTTTACTTGAGCCTCTAAACAAGCCTTATCCACTTCTCAGGACTTACACCACACTGCAAGTGACTGATGGGGGGACCTGGGCCTGGCCACTACTGCAGGTCCCAACCTAGGGACTCTATAAATAGTGGTCACATGCTGCTTCCTACAACTGCTGCTGCTGCTATTCTTCACTGCCATTTTTCTAGGCAGGCCTGGACAACCCACCTTTACTGATCCTTTTCTAGGGCTGAGTAGGGAAGGGCCACGAGGCCTCCAGCTGGGGACCTCAAAGGGCCTGATACACCCATCACTCCTGGGTTAGCAGGATTTTTATTCCCCCTCCCCCCCCGCACCACACACACACACACAATGTACAACTTCCTGCTGTGATTTCACCAAATCAGCACCTATTCCTGAAAGGTAGATACTGGTGTGTTTTAGTTTGGAAGTCTCAGTCTACATAGACTAGGTCAATCTGAAAAGGTTGGTTCAAGTGGGGAACTAAGGGCAAAAAGCAAGTGTGAATGTGTGCACTGGAGATTTGTGTCTGGCGGGGGATCTGGGTTCAGCTCTTTTTTATTTAAAGAAAATCAGGGACGTTGTAAGGTCTGAGGCCTTTTTTTGCAGCCATAGGAGGAGAGCAGCAGCCATGATCCAAGAAGCAGAAAGTCACGTCCTCACGTCCCATCTAAACGATATCAAAACAATGTCACATGGGGCTGTTAAGGTTCCCCTCCCAATAGTATGCACCATCACTAGATAATCAAGGAGTCTCTTAAGATGTTTAAAGAAAACTTTGTTTAATAGCATTCTGCCTGTCAAGGAATCACTTAACAGTTGTGGGTGTGAAATCTATTTTATTGTTTTACCTTTACAGTCCCTAACTTCTCTATTGTTTATCTGTATGGTTCCTTTCTGGTTCTTTGATTAATTATGCAACAGACAGAAACAGTTTTACAAAATTTAAATCAATTAAGGTGGGGATATGATTAAAGAATTGTTTCAAAATGGGCTAAGATTGATTAAAATTACAGTGTCGTAGTACTTTAGTTTAAAATGATTGGTTAAGGTACAGCTAAGCAGGACTCAAGTTTCACCATATAAATAAACTGGGATCCAAAAGGAAGGTCTTTGGAACCAAATCCAGGACACAGCCGCAAGATCAGAACTGCCAGACCTCAACACCCTGCCAATCTCACCATGCAGAAGCTGAAGTCCCCAGATGACCAGATCCTGACTGACCATCAGGAAAAGTTCATCTGCCTTTTGGGGAGTTGTGAGCACTGTATGCTTAGTGTGTGCATTCTGTTTTGGTAACTGTTAATACCTAGAGGTTAAGGACATTACTATGCAAGGCTCTTTCACTGGTAAAAGATCCTGCAAACTGCAGAAGAGTACACCCTGAGCCCAGGATGGGTAAAGGTGGGTGCCTTTCCAGCTTGAAAAAGAGGAGACTAAGAGGAGATATGATAGAAGTATATAAAATCATGAGTGGTGTGGAGAAAGTGAATAAGGAAAAGTTATTTACTTGTTCCCATAATATAAGAACTGGGGCCACCAAATGAAATTAATGGATAGCAGGTTTAAAATAAGTATAAGGAAGTTCTTCTTCACTCAGCACACAGTCAACCTGTGGAACTCCTTGCCTGAGGAGGTTGTGAAGGCTAGGACTATAACAGGGTTTAAAAGAGAACTGGATAAATTCATGGAGGTTAAGTCCATTAATGGCTATTAGCCAGGATGGGTAAGGAATGGTGTCCCTAGCCTCTGTTTGTCACAGGGTGGAAATGGATGGCAGGAGAGAGATCCCATGGTAGGGAAAGGATGAAGGAGCCTAAATCAATCAGGTTACACCTTGAGCCCACAAAAGTGTAAAGGTGGGGTGTCCTACAGTATGCAGATAACAAAGTCACAGGGACTCTCTGCTTTTGGGAATGGATCCTTTGACTCTCAAAACGTTAATTTGTAAACAGTATATTAATATATACGATCTCAGTATGGTGGGTTTTAAGAGCAGTGATGCAGAAAAAGAGCCACAAAAAAAAAAGAGCCATGAACCAGGTGTGACGGGTTTGGTCACAGAGACCCCCTTGGGACTGTCACCTGACGTGCTGAGATTACCTCTGAGTCCATTTTCCCTCCCAGCTTGGGCTTCCAGAACCCTGCCTTGTTGAGCCAGACACGCTAGCCTGCTGCAACACAGACCCAGGTCTGGTCCACGCCCCCAAAGCTGCAGACCTTTAACTAAAAACTGCTCAGCAAGTTTCCTATCTCCAGCACCCAGACGCCCAGTTCCCAATGGGATCCAAACCCCAAATAAATCCGTTTTACTCTGAATAAAGTTTATACAGGGTAAACTCAAATTATCCGCCCTCTATAACATGGATAGAAATATATGCACAGCTGTTTGCTCCCCCGGGTTCATTAATAAACTTACTCTGGGTTCGTTAATAAACAAAAGTGATTTTATTAAATATAAAAAGTAGGATTTAAGTGGTTTCAAGTAATGACAGAACAAAGTCAGTCACCAAGCAAAATAAAGCAAAAACACACAAATCTAAGCTTAATACATTAAGAAACTGTTTACAGGTAAAATCTCACCCTCACAGATGTTTGAATAAGCTTCTTTCACAGACTAGACTCCTTCCTTGTCTGGGCCCAATCCTTTCCCCTGGTACAGTCCTTGTTAGCAGACATCTTAAGTAGAAACTAGGGGTTCTCTCATGACTGGCAGCCCCCTCTCTCCTGCTCTACCCCTTTTTATAGCTTTGGCACAAGACAGGAATCTTTTGTCTCTCTGGGTCCCCAACCCGCCTTCTAAAAATGGAAGAGTGCCAGATTTAAGATGGACTTCAGTATCAGGTGACATGATCACATGTCCTGTGAGACCCCAGCCTCCATTCTTCCTGGGCTGGCCCACACATACCCAGGAAGGTTTGCAAGTAAACAGAGCCATCTACAACTAATTGTCCTAGTCAATGGGAGCCATCAATATTCTCAACCACCATTAATGGCCCGCACTTTGCAGAATTACAAGAGGACCTCAGAGTTATATTTCATATTTCTAGCTTGAGATACAAGAATGATACATGCATACAAATAGGATGAACACTCAGTAGATTATAAGCTTTGTAATGATACCTTACAAGAGACCTTTTGCATAAAGCATATTCCAGTTACATCATATAAGCATATTTCCATAAAGCATATGGAGTGCAACATCATCCCAGGATTCTTTCAACTTTTTTACACTGATATTTTTGCCCAAATGATTCATGTTTTATAGCAAAGAGACTAAAGTAAACTGAAAAGCAAAAACAAAAAATAATAATCATCACATGAACGGAGGAGTGTGTCTAAAACAGGATACATTTTCAAAATTGTTATTTAAGCTCATATTTTAAGATTCTAAAAGTGGTGCTTTCAAGCAAATTACTCTTCTACGTAACTGACAACTGATTTACTGTTTACATACTTCACTCCAATCTACAGTTTATGGTACTGCCACAACAAGCAATAGACTACATAACACTACTGGAAGTCACTAGATGACACTATTGCAAAGTCTTCCTAGCTCTTTATCTGAACATAATAAGCATTTCTCCACATTCTAATTCTTCTGTCAGCTGTGATCCAGCTTTTTTAGATGCTACGAAAAATCACTGGTAAAGTCTGGTTTTACCTTGGTGTGTCTCTCTACTAAATCACTCTTAGTTATAGCTGTTTCTTACCAGTTATACCCATGCAGCTGGACATATTGTCTGGTACCCAAAAAATACACACACATACAGCCTCTATCTTATAAGTCACAACAGATTCATGTTAGCATTTTGGGATTTCTCTGCTGCCTTCATTGTGCAACCTAAAACAAAATGACCAAATTAACATGCTGTGAAGTATGGCTGCCTTCCAGCTACTGCATCCTTTTACTTGCAGAGAAGGTTAACTGTCAAACTACTTTTCAATTACGTTTGTGTCACTTTCCAACCATACTGAATGAAGACTGAATGACATGATTTTAGTAAATATCTTTAAAGACAATCTCAGAGGTTTTCAGCAGATTATTAGCACTCCTGCCTCAGCATCTGAGTGTTGTATCACAGCCTGGGCCTTCAAAACAGTACAAGGGACACTGGATTCACTAATTTCCGTGAAACTGAATTTAAGTCTCTCTACCCACTTAGTTCATAAAGTTCAAGGCAGAACATAGCCGGATCGGAAATTCTTGTCCAAACAAAGATCAGTTTGAATAGCTATATCAGGATCAAAGTTAGGGCTGTAAACAAGATCAGCTGGGTATTTCATTCAGCCTGAGGATCCGATGGGTATTTCACTAGGTCTTTCTGATGTTCAAGTAGGTATTTCAATTGAAGCACACTTGAAGAATTGTGCCAGACTCAAGACATAGCAAAGCACTAGTGGAATTTTATCAGATAAGCTCCGCCCTTCTCCTCCCCTCGCCCCCGGTAAACTGTAAAACTACACCAAATAGTTCCACATAAGAGTTGAAGGATCCTGTAATTTACTGTCCAGGAGTTGATTTCAGGAATAAATTCACAGCTGAGGCTGAATTATGTCACTATTTCACTTTCACCTTAATTCCCTGCTGACAGAATGAGTTGTTTTTGATCATTAGACGCTTGCTAGACCAGATGTCCTAGTCTGTTGGCTAACTTCTTGTCACCTTTGCTGACAGCCATGTCCATTAGGGAAAATTCCTCATTTGGAATGAAGTTCTGGCACAGGCTCACTTTACCATATCCTAATAACTTCTGGATACGGAGCACTCACCAGTTACGAGTGTGATACACAGTACCTTTTGTTTTAGCAATAATAGGGAGTCTGTTTCAACTGCAATAGCTTTTCCTGATATCAGAATACGCAACACACACCTTTAAAGTATTCTCCATATACATGTCAAGGGGGGCCCTGACATCCACTCCCACCAGCTGGGGAACTGGAAAGACCCACAAAATCCCTGGGACTCATTGTTCAGGTGAGGTGCCCCCCCCAGCACCTACACAGGTATCCAGGCAGCCCCCCCGATACACACAAACACATGCACACACCCCTCCGTAGGCATCCGGCTCTACTGGAGGAATCAGAGGCTGGAGTACTGCTGGTCTTGAAGGCCAAATGGTACAACACCAGAACCTTGAGTCTATTATCTGTTAATGTTTGGGTGTAGAAACCACAACAGTTTTACTGAACAATGTGGAGACATGTCTTCCAGCCACTTAATAATGCTTCTGAAAAAGCTACGTTCTCTAGGAGGATAAAGGGGGAAGCAGAACTGTCCTTATACACTGGAACAACATTACAAGTGATGAGTGGTATTGAATCACATGGCTTATCCAATTTTGAATGATTTTACATCATTCAAAGTGTTTGCCTATTAGCTTCCTTTTATGTTTCTGCTATTTGTTGTAAACATTTATTTTTGAAGCTAGCCAGGGCATACATATTCTGGATAAACACACAGGCCTCACAGTGAATGGATGTGTTGCACAATTGCACCTAAAGTCACATGGTGTACAAAGAGCTTGCCTGTCTGAGAACTTTAATGAAGTTTTAGACATGCTAAAACTATTTTATAAATAAAATATTGAGAGGGAAGGAGGTGATCAAGTTATTTTCTTTCCTTCCTTCTCTCCCCATTAATAATCATTCCCCATCACACACACTATACTTCTCATTTTAAGCACATTCCTAACCACACAAACAATGCATAATTACATATTAGGAGAGGCCTTTTAATGGAGTCAACATCAATTACATTTATATACAGTATATAAAGCTATCTCATCTACACGAGCTGAAGTAAACATGGAACAAACCTTATTGCAACGACCAATGCAACCAAATTACAGAGAACAGAGTTGGTGGGGGGAATAGGCTCACTTTCAAATTTCACTCATTCTGCCAGAATGTTTCCTGTTATGGTTCTCTTATCTCTCCTCATGTCCAGGCCACCTGGCCAGTGGCTTGGCATGAGCAACTCTAAGGCTGGTAAGTATGATAACAACCTTGCAGAACCTGTGTGTGTCTGTGTATGAATGAATGTGTGAATAAATATGAAATTGAATGGAATGTTATAGCTATAACTAACTGCTTACTATGATTCTTTCTGTATTCACAATAAATGTGGCATTTTGCCTTTTCCCCTTTAATAAGATCCTGCTGGTTTTTATTTTATTGGTATAACAGACAAACAAGGGATGAGGTTTAAGTGGCACGCCACAACTTTATTAAAATTAACACGGGGAGAGGGTCTGCCCACCTTGTCACCCATACTCTCACTAATCAGGTAAGTGGCTCCAGTGCAGGGGTTACAAGGTTTCTACCATATAACCCTTAATTTGGGGTAGCCTCTCCTCAGCCTACCACTAGGACTCGGCTCTCCTTTCTGAGTCCTACTATCCACCCTACCCCTGTGAGGGGGCAATGGATACTAAACGTGGGGACGTTGGTCTGCAAAGGCCACTAGGTTATTCCCTGCTCCTTGAGAACAAGGTTCATCAGTAAAATCCCAGGAACTGTTCCTTTTAACTGCACTGGAAACCGTCTGTGAGTTCAAATGAATTAACATTCTTACGAAGTGCTATCATTCATTATTAAAGCCTATTCCTGTTTAACTTAACTGTGCCTCCAGGATGCTCTGAGGAAGGTGAAGAACTCCCTAGGCCTCTGCCAATTTGGAAATGGGAAGAAAAATTCCTTTCCAACCACAAAATAAGCAATAGGGTAAACCTCCAGCAACTGCAAAGAACAGCTCTCAGGCTACCACTACAGGGTGGGGAGGGTGGGGTTGCTGGAGTGTACAGAGCAAACAGAAGCTACACATGGCGGGTGAGGGACCAATCAGCTCCCTTCCTCCCCAAGATAGCCAATAGGTGGCTAGAAACTTTGAAGGGGAGGGGCACCTTTGCAACCCCTCAGCATGTGCTCTACCCATGGACAATGAATTTGGTAGGATCTTACACATAATTATGGAAATATTTGTCCCATATATTTGCTGAAATGCCACTTCCGGGCAGTTTAATATTATGTCAAAATTAGCACTGAAAAGCAAGTGAAGGTACAGATGTCAATCTCAATGGAAAGCATTAAGAAAGTGAAGTGAAATAGCTTTAACAAATGGATTTGAAAATATTTAAAATATAATTTTAGGTCAAGCTCATTTCTTCCACAGAGAATTGGAGTGCAATGATTTCACTTACAAACAGTAGTCTTTTCATTGGTAACATGGATTTTCTAGTCAGTAAAGTGTATTGTGTGTAAACTTACTAATATTCCTCTCGTCACACAAGAGACGGGCATCCCCCTCTTTTAAGTGATCATGCATTCAGTCTGTAATATGGTTTCTGTGTGAGTCCTGCCACATTCTTGGTGAAAAGGACCAGTGAGAAGATATGTATTTTGATGATCGAGCTCTTTAAATAGTGTTCAATATTTCATGCACCTCAAGAGGAATGAGGTAGAGTTAAGCTATAAGTTCAGCCAACAGCAAAACAGCAGTTTTATAAAAGCTGGCCAGATAAGATTAGATACACACCACGGTTATCTTGCAGCCTGAATGCTCCGCAAAGCACCACAGGATGTGCATTGTTACTGAAGAGATACCTGCTCACAATTCATATGCAGCCTAGTTTAATGTCAGCAGAGCTGCAACAGCTGCTCTTCAGGAAACAACTCAATATTAGTCAAAAGTAAAAAACGTCCCATGCTATGAAGGAAATGCTGAGAAGCAAAAATTGTGTAGTTACTACTGCTGTGATCTTTGCCTGCACCTAATCATTTCAGGGTGGATCCTACAAGATAAAACAAGGCAAGACACAAGAGTTAGAGGCCAGACTAAATATGACAAGTCTGATGGACAAGAGTCTTATGTTTAAGCACTCAAAAACTAATCATTATGCAAGGAGAAGCAGACAGAAAGTCTGCAGTTTCAAGTGAGAAAAGGTAATGTTCAGCCACAGAACAATGTTAAAAGGCATCATGGTTTGCCAAGAGCGAGATTCAGTAACTTGAAGATGCTTTTTTTAAAAAATCACCTTGGCTTCCAAAGAGGGGGCTTTGATTCCTACTCGATTTAAGCAGGAAATGTTAATGCACTTCATGATCAGATGCCAGCCATTCTTTCAGGAACAAGTAAAGCTAGCCTGGCTGCAAAGACCAACTGTAAAACAACCTCAAAAGTCTTGTTCTACGAGTCTAAAAATATATATTGTTCTGCAGGCCCCAGATCCATTTTTAAGTTAGTTTCTTAATAGGATTTGTGTCTGAATGCAAAAGTCTGAACTGAAAAAAGTGACTAACTAGTTTCCCTTTTGTGTCATTTCAAGGTGCACAAAGACAGTCCAGCAGAATAGCAGTTCTCATTTACTCACAAGATGTATTTTTCAGTATCACCTTATTATTATATTCTCCTTCACTACTGTTACATGTTCGGCTGACTATACCTCAGATAATATCAGACATGTACAGATAACCCTATTTGAGTAGTAGATTTTGCTAAACATGAGCATGATTTCCTATCTGAGTGTCAAGGTCCCTCAAAGGTATCTTGGATTTTGGCCTGAGGAAAAATCTCATTATGGTATGCAAGGGGCTGAAACTGGGCAAGGGGCATGTGAAAACTTACTGCTCGGGAGGATTTCAATATACAGTATAAGCAAGTCAAGGGCAGAGCTGAAACTGAGACACAATGTAATTCTCCTGCCTGGTGACATGGTGTCAACACTATGGTATTGTGAATGAGTCCCAGGCTGAAGCTCAGAGTTCTTGGTTCCAAGATAATGGCAATTCTGAGTCCGAAAAACAGATAGGAGACAAAGCCAGAGGACTGACTGTTTTCACTGCCCAGACATTATTAGCCCGAGACAAAGCGTGGCTTTTGTAGCAACGGACATTAGAAAGCCAGCCACTCAACTGCATTTGGAGCTCAATAAAGGCTCTTCTAACGATAAAGGTTGAATCTAACTGAGGGAAGGAGGGTGTTTGGGTTCCAAGGGGGAGTTATTACATTTATTCAGGGGATAACTGGAATATTATGTTCTTAGACAAAAGATCATTGGCTGGGGGTGCAGATGCCCTACATACCGTCTACTATAAGTAACTATAAAGACACTGCAGCATTTTCCCCTCACCGGCACAGCTGGTGTCACGCACCTCATTTTTCAAAACCTGGAAGAGTCAGGGATGAGTGGAAGGCCACGGTTACTCCAATATTTTGTTTATATCCCCCTATCCCTCCTAAAGGAGAAAGAGAGACTAAAATAAAACCTCTTTGAAGCAAAGGCTGCCTCTCATTCTGTGTCTATGCTGTGCTGAGCACAACGGAGCCGTACCCTCAACTGAGGTCACTACGTGCTACTGTGGTATAAATAATAAAAATAAATAGTCCAACTCCCTAACTCTGCTCTCCTACCTTTTCCCTGCTCCCAAACTGGAGGCCTTGGTGCCACAGAGCTCATTAGTGCAGCTGCGCCGATGCAGCATGTTAAGTGTAGACCTGCCATAAGCGACTGCTGCCCAGGTTGAGACTGAGAAAGAGGGTCTTGGCTCAGAAGTTTCCATTTGTAGGGGGGTGATATGTATTTTTTTTTTAAATTATTTCCTGCTGTGACCCCCCCTCCCCAGAGTTCTAATAGCCTCATCTGTTCCTGTCCCATTTTATGCCCTTCAGCTGGTCATAGAATCATAGAATATCAGGGTTGGAAGGGACCTCAAGAGGTCATCTAGTCCAACTCCCTGCTCAAAGCAGGACCAATCTCCAATTAAATCATCCCAGCCAGGGCTTTGTCAAGCCTGACCTTAAAAACTTCTAAGGAAGGAGATTCTACCACCTCCCTAGGTAACACATTCCAGTGTTTCACCACCCTCCTAGTGAAAAAGTTTTTCCTAATATCCAACCTAAACCTCCCCCACTGCAACTTGAGACCATTACTCCTTGTCCTGTCCTCTTCTACCACTGAGAATAGTCTAGAACCATCCTCTTTGGAACCACCTCTCAGGTAGTTGAAAGCAGCTATCAAATCCCCCCTCATTCTTCTCTTCTGCAGACTAAACAATCCCAGTTCCCTCAGCCTCTCCTCATAAGTCATGTGTTCCAGACCCCTAATCATTTTTGTTGCCCTTCGCTGGACTCTCTCCAATTTATCCACATCCTTCTTGTAGTGTGGGGCCCAAAACTGGACACAGGACTCCAGATGAGGCCTCACAATGTCGAATAGAGGGGAACGATCATGTCCCTCGATCTGCTCGCTATGCCCCTACTTATACATCCCAAAATGCCATTGGCCTTCTTGGCAACAAGGGCACACTGCTGACTCATATCCAGCTTCTCGTCCACTGTCACCCCTAGGTCCTTTTCCGCAGAACTGCTGCCTAGCCATTCGGTCCCTAGTCTGTAGCTGTGCATTGGGTTCTTCCGTCCTAAGTGCAGGACCCTGCACTTATCCTTATTGAACCTCATCAGATTTCTTTTGGCCCAATCCTCCAATTTGTCTAGGTCCCTCTGTATCCTATCCCTGCCCTCCAGCGTATCTACCACTCCTCCCAGTTTAGTATCATCTGCAAATTTGCTGAGAGTGCAATCCACACCATCCTCCAGATCATTTATGAAGATATTGAACAAAACCGGCCCCAGGACCGACCCCTGGGGCACTCCACTTGACACCGGCTGCCAACTAGACATGGAGCCATTGATCACTACCCGTTGAGCCCGACAATCTAGCCAACTTTCTACCCACCTTATAGTGCATTCATCCAGCCCATACTTCTTTAACTTGCTGACAAGAATACTGTGGGAGACCGTGTCAAAAGCTTTGCTAAAGTCAAGAAACAATATATCCACTGCTTTCCCTTCATCCACAGAACCAGTAATCTCATCATAGAAGGCGATTAGATTAGTCAGGCATGACCTTCCCTTGGTGAATCCATGCTGACTGTTCCTGATCACTTTCCTCTCATGTAAGAGCTTCAGGACTGATTCCTTGAGGACCTGCTCCATGATTTTTCCGGGGACTGAGGTGAGGCTGACTGGCCTG